ATGTATCAAAATCTCCTAATATGTATGAGAAAACTATGGGGGTCTCCTCAAATGCAATAACGAAACCATACATAAAGAAGATGGACAACATCCAAAATAATGCATGTCTGAAGCATGTTGGTCATGGCATGGCATATGTGAACAATTGCGCAAATTATGTAAAGGAAGCATGGTAATATCATCACAAGACAAGCAAATGACAATAATCACAAACTTTTCATCTATGCCGAATTCACAAGTTAAGTTAGATTTAATGGTCATGGCATAGTCACTACAAAATGAGCTCAGAGATTTGACATGGGCAATCTCCTTCATAGCATATAACAAAGATTTAGGAGATGCCAACATGATATGACCTATGAAATTCTCACAAGATGTCATATGCAACATGGCATCACAACTAATAGGCTCCACGTGATTCATCAAACTCGTCGTTGGTCAAATCAAAGCATGTAGAAGGCATAATAGCATGTGACATGGCAACAGGAGTATCAATATTATGCAAGCAATCCATGTCCACTAGTGGGACAAGCTCATCACCTTCACCCATGTTACCTTTCCCCTTCCACTCATGTGGTGCAGGTGAGGTGGCAAAGACCAACTCGTGGTCAACATCATCATCTCGATGCAACTATGTGGGGGTGCATCATATTTCATCATGGCCATCGTCTTATCCAAAGGAGGGATGAAGTCGTCGAGAATCGGGCGTCATTATATATAGGACCTTGCACCAAATGAGTAGACAAAATAGGGGTAGAGGTTAAGTTGTTAGAAATCAAAATGGCCTCATAAGACCTATCAACTTCATCTATAAACTCTTGTGGTGGCGCACTCACTCCCTCAAAGTAGATGCACTCAAAGTCACATACGGTTGAGTCACTCATCTCACTCAAGGCTTATTATGCTTTCCTTTTTATTTTGAGAAATAAAAAGAACAATGTAATCACAATCCCCTTGCTATGCATGGCTAGATAGTTATATAAATTTTCAAGAAATAATGATTGGGGAAAATATAGCAAGTGGGAAACCAAACAATTGTGCACAAACTAAACAAGCCAGAGATCCTCATGAAAGCAACCAAAGAGATATACAAATATCAAGAATATATCTAGTGACCACTCTCCAGATGATACGAAATATTAAAATGTCGTGCAAATAGTCCTGAAACATCTCGGAACAAATTACAATATATATAAGTTAGACTAACATGTCATAACTTCCGCACACACACAAAAACTAGCATGTCATCAGATTTCAAACAAAATTTACTTTACACCTGAGAAATACTAAGAAAGACAAAATCTACTAAAAAAATCTGAAACAAAACGAAAAGGAGAAGTCATGTTATCATGCTAGGCCGTATATGCATTTTGTTTTGTAGTCAGTGACATATGGGCCTTAAAAATTGATGGGCCAGTGACACCACTCTGGTCGCCCCATCCCGCGAGAATCCCTCAGGCTGGTCGTAATGGGAGTATCATAGGTAGTATCATGCATGTCAACTAGGCAAATTTGATGAGGCGGCATAAAATTAAATGAAAAAAGAGAGGGTTGAGTATCATATCATGATACCGTATCATATTAAATGTTGTGCTACTATGTGTCATGTATGGCAATAAATAAAATCATCTATGATACTAACATATGATATTATGCACTACGGATATAGTATCATACACTAGTATCATATGCATATACTAGTATATGATACTTGCCATTACGACCAGCCTCACTCACCAAGACAAAATCGACAATGCATATTGGTTGATTCCGAGACGGGTCCAGAAACTAGTAGGCGGAGGTGTTGTTGTTGATCTGAGCAGCGCGATCTTGAAGCCGCCGGGGAGGGGAGGCGAAGGCGGCGGCGGTTCTTGCTCCAGCGGGCAGGGGAGGGGACGGCGGCGGTTCAGTTCAGTCACGCGGCGGCCTCCCGATCCAGAATCCTTTCTGCAAGCACAGACCATGAGGCCGTTGACGCCGCCGCATGTGCCGGGGCTGTGGTGCTGGCACAGCCGGAGGAGGAAGAAGACTCACACACACACAACTAGAGATGGAAGAAGATACGCATAGAGTCTTGGCACGCACACACTTTGCCTTTTCTTTGTTTTCTTCTCACCCTTGCAATGCAATTACATGATGGCTTAAATAGCCGGAAGCACACGGCTAAAACGCAGCCACTCACCCACTAACTCCATGCACACACACGCACAGGCCACAACTGTCTGACCCGGTTATTACTCAACTAACCCACGTCTAGATTGAGTCACTTTCAAGTTTTCTGCAGATCAACTAAGAGTTCACGCAGCCGGCGCATTGCCACAACTGATTTTGCCCGCTTCTTTCTCCACCTCTTTCTGCTACACAACTCGGCCGCTTGGACTCCATGGAACTAGACGCATGCAGCTAGCCTATCCATGCAAACTACTAACAAACTCAACGGGATACACTACCGACTTGCATATACACGCGTGATCTCTTCTCTACGTGAGTACATGCCCACAGCCAGGTAGGTCGGACGTGACAACATGCATGACACTGCTAAATAAATATGATGAAAAACCAAAAACCAGCAAGGTTAATTCTAACATGTGGGAGAGGGAAGAACTCGTGGAGGTCCTGATCCGCATTCCGCCGGACGAGCCGGCGGACCTCATTCACGCCTCCCTCGTCTGCAGGGCTTGGTGCCGCCTCCTCTCCGGCCACGTCTTCCGCGGCCGCTACCGCACCTTGCACAAAACACCTCCAGTCCTAGGCTTCCTACAAAGCTGGGACGGACGACAACGTCGAGCGCTTCGTCCCGACCACGAAATTCTGCCCCGGCAATGCCAAGCGTCGGGACAGCTTCGTGCTCGACTGCCGCCATGGCCGCGTTCTTCTTGGGTGTGAGTGGGACAGGGAAGATGAGGAAGAGAAGGAGGTGGAGGATGGCAACTGGAAGATGGTCGTCTGGGACCCCGTGTCTGGGAGCTGGACGGAGTTGTACAACATCTTCGGCCCTGACAGCAACCGCGCAAACTATACGGCCACGGTGCTCTGTGCAGCGAATGGCTGCAACCACACTGCCTGCAACTTGGGCCCATTTTTGGTCGTTGTTGCTTTTGTCAGCCTTCATGATAAGAGGCTCGTGTTGGTGTCTGTATACTCATCGAAGACCCGGGAGTGGACCTCACCGGCCTCTATTCATATCGGCGGCATTGGAACACTTGGAGCCTACATTGTCGCAAGGCCTGCCGTCTTAGTTGGACAAGCGCTCCACTTCCTCCTTCGTCGAGATGAGGGCATTTGTATTCTCAAGTATGACTTGGTTAGGCATCGCCTATCGGTAATTGATCCACCAGGGCTATGTACGTTGATGTGGAATCCTCTACTCATTTCGCCGGACGACGGTGGGCTGGGGGTCGTCCACCTAGACCAGCATGGGCTATGCCTCATTTGGTCGATGGAGATGAGTCTTGATGGAGTAGTGTCATGGATCCAGGTCAGAGAAATGGACCTCAAGACACTTGTCCCCATTGGCAATCCCAGGACCTCATATTCATTAAAGTTGGTTGGCTGTGTGGAGGCACCGATATCATCCTTGCGATCACATATCTTGGTGCATTCCGAATTGATCTCAAGTCCCTGAGGATGAGAAAGTTGTCGAGTAAGCCAAATAGGCGCACAATTGAGCGGAAAATATTTGAGAACCTCTTTCTCTACATGAGCTTCAACAATCCACCAGGTATATAATGTTTACTTTAACCCTTTATATATGGTTTCTATGATGTGTTCCATTCACCAAAGAATGTTAAGTTTCCATTAAGAAAATTGTAAAATTGTGCAAAGAAAATTCTCATCCCAGTGACTCATTCTTCAAAATTGTTCGCTTCATTTAGCGGTGGCAGGTGGTGTGGCTGAAGCAAGTGACGCAGGGTGCGGTGTGTCTTGAAGGGGGCTGACGCAGCTATTTTCATTAACAACATGTCATTCAACGAATTGTCCTCATTATTTGGTTATCACTAAGCCGTTTATATAGTAAAGTGGGCCTATTATATTAAGTTTAGAGGATTCTCCTAACATTATGAGTTTAGTTTATCACTTTTAGATTACTGGTGGATGTGACAGTTTGAATCACGTGCCAGCCGGCAGCCATTGAAGAATGGAAGTTCAGTTTTAATATTTTGGTGTTGGTTTTCATTTTAAGTCTTTTCCTATGATTGATATGGGAGTCGTAGCCGTGGTACCTTTTTAAGCGTCAGTTTTAAGTTGGTTACCCAGCAACCAGCATGGATGCTTGCTCTTCTTTGTGTGACTTATCAGACTGTACTTTCTCAGTAACCAATGGAAGATATGGTCACAAAATTGTCAAGCTCGTATTCCTTCAGTCATTTTGTTAGCATGTCAGACTGGTCTCTGCAACTTCCTTTGCCAGGCAAAATGCTTCCCATGTGATTATGTCAAATAGCTACTGGAACCAGCAGGGTGTGTGCTGATGCTAGTTCGATTTTGCTGGAACATAAACTATGATACAGTTTATATACTACATACTACTCCCTCAGTCCCAAAATAAGTGACTCGAGTTTGTACAAACTCGAGTCACTTATTTTGGGACGGAGGGAGTATAATACCAGACTCAAAAAAGCTACTATTTTGATGTCCCTGCAAAAGGAAAAATAAAGGTGCTATATTGGTGTAGTAGTTTCAACAATTTTGTAGCCCAGACACAAAGCAGAGTACTTGGCCAGGAAAAAGTGCAGCATTTCCGGCCATGCTCCTCAGCCATACAAGAGCCTCTGCACCAATCCAATGTAATTTATAGTTCTTTGATCAGAGTGTCGTCAACATGTTAGTACTAACATCAGCTATGTTTCTCCCCTCTCTTCATCAGGGCAAAAAAGAGAAATAAAAATAAAGGAATCACATCTTGGATCTTAATCTTGTCATACCAGCAGCATGCTGCCTCATCATGATCATCTAGAGAAGAAAGGGAAAAAGAATGGAGAATGCATGGAGAGATCTGCTCAGTGGTGCCTGGCGTTATGGCCCTTGGGGCCATAGTAGTCCACATGGATCTCAGGCATCCTGTGCGCCCCTGCCCTCTCTTTCTCTTCAGAGATGGCCTCCTCCACTTCATCGCCTGAAGATGACTCATCACCATCAGCCTTGTTCAACATCCCTTTCTCTGCGGATTTCTGTAACCGAGAGAAGAAAGCACGCAAGGTTAGAGAACCGATCATCGCGCAACAAGACATCGAAACACCGGAGACGACAGTCGCAATCACTTACATTGAGCACAGGGTTGCCGAACGCCGCCTTGCTCCCTGCGTCCAGCCTGATGCCCTGCGCCGTCGCCACCATCAGGAGCAGAACCATGGCAGCCGCGGCCATTGGCAGGCAGGTCTTGGCCATCTTGTGCTCCAGTATATGTGTAAGGATCCTGAAAGAGTTGAGCTGAGAGACAATCCTGCTCCAAGTGAACTCGGCTGAGTTGGAATGGAACAGTAGTGGCTCAGTGAGGAGATGTGGACTCTGTTGCCCGAAGAACCATTTGACCCTGAGAAGACCATATATACTACAGACACAAGACTTTTCTTAACGACCAGCCCGGGCCCGCCCAGTGATTGGTGTACTCATGTCTGCAGCCAAGGGTCTTATCTGAAGTACCAATGCAGGAATGTAGCCATTGTTTATGCAGTCCTCTGCTACACTTTGAACAAGTATGTCTGCCCCAACCATGGAGCCGTGTTTATTAGGACGCTGGACCCCTGGATTAGGCGCATAATGCCATGGGAAGGATGGGATTAAGAACTCTGTCAAGTGGTTCTCAAGCAAGTGAAATGACAGATTTTTTGGCGTGGAATTTGACAAAGACCAGTGTTTTTATAATGCGTTCGGCCTATCATGCAGAATGGGAGCTCTAATTCGGCCATAAGCTGGAGACTACGTCAGGATCCTCTAACCCATCAGATATGTGGGACTCAGTTTGGAACTTAACATGTCCAGCTAAGATTAAAATCTTCATTTGGAGGGCATTCCATAGCGCTATTCCCTGTCGTGCTATTCTGGCAAACAAACATTTGAAGATAAACCCGAGCTGCCTTGCCTGTAACTTGGGCCTGGATACCATAAGACACCTACTGTTTGAATGCAAGGCGGCCATGGAGGTTTGGAAGCTCCTTGGCATTGATGAGATCATCAAAAATGCGTTGCTAGTCGACAGGGCGGGTGAAGTGATTTTGGAGCATCCGTTGTGCCTTCCAGAGCAAGATGTCCAAGTGCTTGGTCTACCAAAGTTGAAAGAAACAGTGGCAACAACAGCCTGGTACTTGTGGTTGAGCGCCGTAAGTTGACACACGGAGAAGAAACACAAAACGCTGCTCAAATTAATATGGCAGTGAGATGTTTAGCCGCTAACTATATTATCTCATACAGTCCTAAGTCTGAAGTGAGATCAGACGCAATCAAGATATGGCTATGTTAAGGTAAACATTGATGCGGGTTTTGATGTAGACACGCTTAAGGGGACAGTTGGAGCAGTCATCGGAGACCATCATGGAAAGTTCATTGACGAAAAAGGGTTTCTCCCTGCTTTATATATAAAGGAAACAACACCACAATACATCTGAGCAAGCCGATACAAACACACACCACCGCACACAACACACACCCAAGGCAAGATACAAAGGTGCCGAGCACCGACACACCACCCCAACAACAATCACGCTAACTAAGACCACTTGATGTCGATGGAGACCTCCACGGAGTGCAAATCACCGTGAAGAAGTGAAGTCGGACACGGACGAAGCATGGGCTCCTCGACGGTGCCTCCAAGAAGGGCACGACACCATGGTGCCGCCACCGCTCGATCGCGAAGATCAAATTTTCACCCGAAGCAGCATGGAAAGGAGGATAGGCTGCGACGGAGCCTTCGGGAAGGAAACCACCATCGGCCAGGCAACAGTCAGGCAAGTAATGAACTCTGGCACTCACATCCCTCCTCCATGCTCCGCCAAACACCAAGAACCATGCCACCCGCGTGGCCATGCTTGCCCGCTCGCACCCGAGACACGCTCTCTGCCCACAAGCAACCTGTCTCCCATCGCCAGGGCGGCCGCCCTGCAACCAGACACCCCCGGACCCGCCAAAGGTTGTGCCTTTGGCCCACCCGGCAGCCCGTGAATGATGGAGCCGCCAGTAGTCGCTCTGCTCCGAACAACGACAGATTGACCCCAGCCCGCACTTTGGCGAGGAAGTAGGGGGAATGGAGAACAGACGCATCCACGACCGTCACACCGTCGTGTCTGCTATGGGTGGCCCGACCATGTCGGCACCTCCCATCCCTCCGCCAACCCCCCTACCCGACACACACCTTGTGTCGCCTCACCACGGCAGCTAGAGCAGACCGACGCGAAGCCACAAACAACAACACGCCCATCGACAGGGGACACCAAACCAACCGAAAACTAACAGAGGGTCTTCCCGCGCCGTATACCATGGTCTGCAAGCCGCAACCAGAGGGTCCGGACCAGAACCAGACCAACACGCACCACTAGCGCCGCCGCACGCACCACCACACATGCGCCGCTACCTCTACCAGCCAGGATGGCCACGGCGGAGGTAGTTGCAGTGAGGTTTTGGAATGAATCTGGCACACGTAGTTGGATGCAGTAAGATCGAGGTCAACTCTAATAGTGTGGAGGTTGTTGCTGCCCTAATCAATAGTTACTCTTCTTCAGTAACTTCTGCTATCTTTGATGACTGATATTTTATGCCGCTTGATTTTACTCATGTCATTTATGATCATTGTAATAGAGAAAGAAATCAGGTAGCTCATGAACGGGCTAGGATAGCTAGATTTTCCTCTCCAAATATCTGGATGGACACTGCCCTAGATGTGGTTATTCCTCTTATTGTAACCGACATTACGATCCTTATGAATGAATAAATGTGGTTAGCGATTATTTAGTAAATTTGCAATAACTGAAGGTACAACATTGTTGGAAATATGAGCAATTTACAGAATGATTTTATTAATAGAAATACTAGATAAAGCATGACTAATATAGTAGAGATAAAACAAGTCATGCGTTCTGACAGAGAGAAGGTAAAGAGCATCTGCATATATGAACTTGAAGTAACACATCTAGAACAGATACTAGATGAAGTTGCGTATATGAAGTAGAACCTAACACATGTAGGACGGAAAGTAGAGCAAAGAACTGTGTCATGACATCTAATAGAAAGAGCAAGAACACGTACGGGACAGCAGCAGTAGATGTACTGGACTTGGGGTCGGTGTCCTCGCTCGCCATGTCGTCGAGGAGGTCGTGGACGTCGGGGAAGAAGTCGTCGTCGGGGAAGTAGTCGTCGGCGACCGGATCGTCCGTGATGAAGTAGCCAGTAGTCGCGTTGAGCGCTCCCCAAAAACCTTATCACCCTTCTCCCGTACAGGACTCAAAAGGTGCGGTTTCGGAGGCCTACTGTCCCGGCCTGCGGTGCACGCCGCAAGCCGGGATGGGGAAGATCCTAGCGGCAGCGCAGTGCTCAGGAACTTGTGGCGAGAGGAGGAAGAGGTTTCGGTGCATCTCTCTGGGAGGAGCGACCTCCCTTTTATAGGCGCAAGAGAAGGAGGCGAGAGGGCAACAACGAGAGGCGAAACAAAGAGACAGAGACGAAGCGAATAGCCAGCAGCCGAAGAGCTGCACCATTCGCATTCGAACTCTCATTCCCGCAACCCGCGGCGCGTCGTGACGAGGTGTGGCGGGCGGCGGAGGAGGAGCGTGCGTGGATATCCCTCTTGTTCTCATGCTCGTACAAGTGGGGAAAGAACCTCCCTTATAAAGAGGTCCAACTCCCACTAAACTAGCAATGTGGGACTAAACTTTAGTAGTATCCCTTGCCTTGCACAAATGGGCTAAGTGGGCCTCTAGGATCTATTAGGAATTTCTGAAATAGTTATTGGGCTGCCCAAAATAGACTAAATTCCAGCAATCCCCCACCAGATCCCAGAGACACACAGAAATTTGCCTTTGGTTTCAAAACACTGTTTTATATACCGGTACTATAGTGAAGCTGTTAAGTTGAACTTCCACCTAGAACTCTATGATACACTAGTAAGCAACTTGAACAGTGGACTGGGCCTTGAACTGCAAGTTTTCTGCGAATCTAGCTTCACATAAAGCCTTGACTGATACGTGGCTACCGTGGGTCTTCCCTGCGGGTGGAGCTTATGCGTCATACTCTGTGACCTTTCATGAGTTTACTAGAGAGAACCCTACTCTCATAGATTGCGACGTTTGACAATCAGACTCATATATGTGTGTTCTTCAAAAGATGTTCTGCAGGATAACATCTCTGCTTAAATAAGCCACTTAGAACACATTAAGATATACATCAACCTGCCATGCAGATTAGGAGAGTATTGCATCTTCGTGGAGTGGTATTGTGAATAGTAAGGATACTCTCCTCTCAGTTGACCAACAGCTTGTCTTCCACATCTAATTCACGGGATCTCCTATCACAAAGAATAGGTTATCACTGTGAACAACTCATATTGTGGGTCTCATACCCATCTCCCTCGATGCATTATCTATCACATTACGTGATAGACCCTTGGTAAAAGGATCTGCCAGATTTTTTGACGTTTGGATATAATCCAACGCAATAACTCCGGAGTTTTTCATTTTCCTGACAGACTTTAACCTTCTCTGAACGTGTCTTGATGACTTCATGTTATCCTTTGAGCTGCTCACTTTTGTGATCACAGTTTGATTGTCGCAGTTCATAAGGACACCCGGTACAGGTTTCTCAACAACCGGCAAGTCATTCAAGAGCCGGCGAAGCCAATCTGCTTCAACCGTAGATGTATCTAGTGCTGTGAGTTCTGCTTCCATTGTTGACCTCGTTAAGATGGTCTGCTTGCAAGACTTCCAAGAAACAGCGCCACCTCCATGAGTGAATACATAACCGCTCATGGCCTTTATCTCATCAGCATCTGAGATCCAGTTTGAGTCACTATACCCTTCAAGCACCTTTGGATGCCCGGTGTAGTGAATTCCATAATTTGCAGTGCCTTTCAAATAACACAAAACTCTCTCTAGAGCTTTCCAATGCACATCTCCTGGTTTTGAGACAAACCGACCCAGTTTGCTAACAGCAAAAGAGATGTCAGGTCTTGTAGCACTTGCTAAGTACATAAGCGAGCCAATAATCTGAGAATATTTCAATTGATCTTTAGCAATTCTTCAATTCTTTCGAAGTAACACACTTGCATCATATGGTGTTGGAGAAGGCTTGCAGTCACTATAGCCAAAGCGACTCAAGATCTTTTCCACATAGTGAGATTGAAGCAATGTAATCCCACCATCATCGTCTCTCAACAACTTGATGTTCAGAATGACATCAGCCACTCCTAAATCCTTCATCTCAAAACAACGAGATAGGAAATCCTTGATCTCCTTAATAACATTCAAATTTGTTCCGAAAATCAGTATGTCATCAACATACAAGCAAAGGATAACTCCCTCACCCCCACCATGGCGATAGTACACACATTTGTCAGCTTCGTTTACAACAAAGCCTGCGGCTGTTAAAGTTCTTTCAAACTTCTCATGCCACTGTTTGGGTGCTTGCTTGAGTCCATACAAGGACTTTAGCAACTTGCACACTTTTCCTTCCTGGCCATCTAGTACAAACCCATCTGGTTGTTCCATATAAATTTCCTCGTCTAACTCTCCATTTAGGAAAGCAGTCTTAACATCCATTTGATGAACGAGAAGACCATGCGAGGCAGCTAGTGAAAGTAGAACTCGAATAGTGGTCAGTCGAGCCACAGGTGAGTAAGTATCAAAGAAGTCTTCACCTTCCTTTTGGGTATAACCCTTAGCCACGAACCGAGCCTTGTACTTCTCAATAGTACCATCAGGCCTAAGCTTCTTCTTGAATACCCATTTGCATCCTATAGGTTTGCACCCATAAGGACGATCAGTTATCTCCCAGGTTTCATTCGCTAAGATGGAATCCATCTCGCTACGAACCGCTTCCTTCCATTAGTCAGCATCTTCAGATGCATAGGCCTCTCAAATAGAACTGGGAGTGTCATCTATGAGATACACAAGAAAATCATCACCAAAAGACTTTGCGGTCCTCTGTCTCTTGCTCCTAGTAGGAACTTCATTGTTCTCCTCCACAGGACTTTCAAAGTGTTCCATCAAAATGGCAGGTTCGATAATTGTAACTGGTTCCTGATTCGATGAACTAGGCATCTCCTGATTAGATGAGGTAGCCATATCCTTCATGGGAAATATATCTTCAAAGAAAGTCGCATCATTCGACTCCATGATCGTACCGACATGTATTTCAGGTACCTTAGATTTTACAACCAAGAATCTATATCCAATGCTATGAAAAGCATATCCCAAGAAAACACAATCCACAGTCTTTGGTCCAAGCTTCTGCTTCTTTGGAATTGGAACATTGACTTTCGCCAAACAACCCCATGTTCGTAGATAAGAGAGTTTTAACCTTTTCTTTTCCCATTCCTCGAATGGAGTTACCTCTTTGTTCTTTGTGGGAACTCGGTTTAGGACATGACATGCAGTCAATATCGCCTCCCCCCACCATGCCTTGGAGAGACCCGAAGTGTCTAACATGGCGTTAACCAAATCTGTTAGAGTACGGTTCTTTCTTTCGGCCACCCCATTTGACTGAGGTGAATAGGGAGGCGTCCTCTCATGGATTATACCATGTTCCGCACAAAAAGCATCAAATTCATTAGAAAAATACTCTCCACCACGGTCGGACCTAAGCCTCTTGATTTTTCGATCAAGTTGGTTTTCCACTTCAACTTTATAGATCTTGAAAAAGTTCAAAGCCTCATCCTTAGATTTCAGAAGATACACATGGAAGTATCTAGTGGAGTCATCAATTAACGTCATGAAATATTTCTTTCCACCTTTTGTCAAAACACCATTCATTTCACATAGATCTGAATGTATGAGCTCTAGTGGTGCAAGATTTCTCGTTTCCGCAGTCGTGTGAGACTTACGAGGTTGCTTAGCTTGCACACACACTTGACACTTAGATCCCTTAACAGTGGTGAAACTAGGGATTAAGTTCAACTTCGCTAGTCGTGACATGCAACCAAAGTTAACCTAACAAAGATGTGAATGCCACACATTGGATTCACTATTGTTGCAAATATGATTAGCAACTTTATTGCAAACGTCTGATAAGGATAAAAAAACAGGCCTCCTGACTCATAGCCTTTACCAACAAAGGTTCCATACTTGGATATTACAAATTTATTCGACTCAAAGACAAGCTTGTAGCCATCTCTACACAGAAGAGATCCGCTAACAAGATTTTTATTGACGGAGGGGACATAATGCATGTTCTTCAGCCGCACGATCTTCCCCGAAGTAAACTTCAGATCGACCGTGCCAACACAACGAACAGAAGCACTTGAACCGTTGCCCATCAGCACGGTTGAAGTCCCTGTGGTCTGATAAGACGAAAACATGGAAATATCACCGCATACATGCACATTAGCACACGTGTCAATCAACCAGTCAGGAGAATGACATACTGAAAGAATAGTGAGAAATATACCATAGCCAGCATCCTTCATGTCAGTGTCTCCAATGACAACATTAGCGGTCTTGCTGCCTTTCCCAGGATGACGCTTGTCATAGCGATTAGGGCAACTAGGAGCCCAATGATCAGGATCCCCACACACATGACAAGCACCTTTCTTCTTGCCATTCTTCTTCTTGAAATTCGTGTGTTGCACATCCTTGTTCTTCCCATCAAACTTTGCTTTTCCATCAAACTTGCCCTTGTTCTTGAACTTGTGGGGCTGGAAGTTCTGCTTCTGTACCACATTGGCACTAGATCCTCCCTCAATACCTCGAGCACGTGTGTCCTTTGCTCTCGCCTTTTCTTCCACATCAAGAGTGCCAATGAGATCCGGGACGGAAAACTCCTGCCTCTTATGCTTCAGCAAGGTAGCAAAGTTCCTCCATGAAGGAGGAAGCTTAGTGATGATACCTCCGGCAACAAACTTGTCCGGTAGCATACAACTGAAGTGCTCAAGTTCTCTAGCAAATGACTGTATCTCATGAGCTTGCTCAACCACGGAGCGCTCTTCAGTCATCCTGTAATCATAGAATTGCTCCATGATGTACAGCTCAGTGCCAGCATCCGAGACCCCAAACTTGGCCTCGAGTGCATCCCACATATCTTTTCCATTATCAATTGACGCATAAGCATCAACTATGTTCTCACCAAGAACACTCAAGAGAGCAGCCTTAAACAGAGTATCCATTTTCTGAAAAGCTTGTGCCTGTTGAGCATCAAGCTCTCCTTCAGGTTTGCCGAGAGTGGCGTCATAGCAACTCATGGTTTGAAACCATAAGACTACTCTCACGCGCCACCTATTATAGTGGATACCCTCAACATAGGAGGTCTCATGGAAGCAACAAAACAACTCGGGGTAAATTGCCTATAATCAGGTTTTGGATTGTTGGAAATATGAGCAATTTACCGAATGATTTTATTAATAGAAATACTAGATAAAGCATGACTAATATAGTAGAGATAAAACAAGTCATGCGTTCGGACAGAGAGAAGGTAAAGAGCATCTGCATATATGAACTTGAACTAAACACATCTAGAACAGATACTAGATGAAGTTGCATATATGAAGTAGAACCTAACACATGTAGGACGGAAAGTAGAGCAAAGAACTGTGTCATGACATCTAACAGAAAGAGCAAGAACACGTACGGGACATTAGCAGCAGAAGTAATGGACTTGGGGTCGGTGTCCTCGCCCGCCATGTCGTTGAGGAGGTCGTGGACGTCGGGGAAGTAGTCGTTGGCGACCGGATCGTCCGTGATGAAGCATCCAGTAGTCGCGCTGAGCGCTCCCCAAAAACCTTATCACCCTTCTCCTGTACAGGATTCAAAAGGTGCGGTTTCGGAGGCCTACTGTCCTGACCTGCGGTGCACGCCGCAAGCCGGGATGGGGAAGATTGTAGCAGCAGCGCAGTGCTCAGGAACTTGTGGCGAGAGGAGGAAGAGGTTCTGGTGCGTCTCTCTGGGAGGAGCGACCTCCCTTTTATAGGCGCAAGAGAAGGAGGTGAGAGGGCAACGACGGGAGGCGAAAGGAAGAGACAGAGACGAAGCGAACAGCCAGCAGCCGAAGAGCTGCACCGTTCGCATTCGAACTCCACTTTCGCAAAAAACTTTTCAGCTTCCGTGTGACCTTTCGTATACCCGTAGTGCGTGACAAAAATTTAGATATCGGCTCGGCTCATTCCCGCGGCGCGGCGCGTCGTTACGAGGCGTGGCGAGGCGGGCGGCGGAGGAGGAGCGCGCGTGGATATCCCTCTCGTTCTCATGCTCGTACAAGTGGGGAAAGAACCTCCCTTATAAGGAGGTCCAACTCTCACTAAACTAGCAATGTGGGACTAAACTTTAGTAGTATCCCTTTCCTTGCACAAATGGGCTAAGTGGGCCTCTAGGATTTATTAGGAATTTCTGAAATAGTTATTGGGCTGCCCAAAATAGACTAAATTCCAGCACAACAGTAGTTTGGTTGGGCTCTGGTCCCCTCGAGGTTGTGGACTGGTGTAAGCTAGATTGTAATTACCTGGATCCTTGATTAATACAAGTCTTACTCGCAAAAAAGAATAAATGAGGAGATAATTGTAAAAAAACATAGGAGAAGACGCTTCGCGTACTAAGAAATAAGAGCATCTACAGCCGGACGCCCTATATTCGTCTCATACGCCCGGGCAGGCCGTCAGGTCACTGATTGGTCACAAAAAATTGACTCAGCCGAAGCTCTCAAACGGGCCACAAACGCCCGGACTGACCGACACCCCTTATATCCATCCTGAATGTAGAGCGGATATGAGGTGGCTCGGGCATGCCCGGGCGCGTCCGCCATGTCAGCCTGGCCCACCGCTAGCCCACCCTGCCCCCACAAAAAACCCTTGTCTGGCAGATCCCTAGCGTCGGCGAGCATGTCCAGCACCGGTAGTCACTTCGACGGAAGCTCCGGAGACGAGGAGGAGCTGGCGCTTCGTATTGCGCTCGAGTGGTCACGGGTCGATATGGGCGGCAGCTCCAGGTCCAGTGCGACGCCACCTTTCGCCCGTCGCGGCAGCGCCGATGCTGGTGCCGACCCTTCCTATCCTGCGCGTGGATTTGCGAGGCCTGCCTGATCTTCTCCTCCCGCCCGACGGCCTCCTCCACCTCCGGTCGCTGCTCCGCGCGGGCAGCGCTGGGTTCTAGTGCCCACTCCACCGACGCCGCGGATGCGGACTCCGGAGTCGAAGGCACGTGCCGCCCGCCGCGAGAGGCAGAGGGCAAGGGAGATGGCGGGCGGGTCTGATGGGTCTGCGCAGTCCGCCCGCCGCAGCCGAGTGCCCGACGATGAGGACCGTCTCTTCAAGTGGGCGTGTCGCCGATCACTGACTGAGGCGGAGACGAAGGCCCGACGGCTTCGGAGGCTCAACGCTAAGCAGCTTCGACTCGGCGTTGAGCAATCCGAGCGGGAGGCGGCGAGGGTGGCCAAGCTCAAGCGCAAGCAAGACCGCCGCGTCCGACGCTTGCAAGGATACATCGTCATCTCTGATTCCTCCTCCTCCGACGGGTCCGACGTGGACCCACCTCCTGCCGCGGACTCCTACAGCTGCACCGGCGACCGGAACGGCAAAAGGCCGACGAGGAAGTGGTGAAGATCCGTCTTAATTTCAAGTTTTTTTAGATGTAGTTTGAACTTGCCCGCCGTATTATGTGTATTATGTGAACTTTGGCTATCTTTTAATGCCCTGGTTGTGATCTTTTGATAAAATCGATTGTGCATTTGTATGTCCGCTCATGATCTACGTATTTTTTTATCAACGTTGCATGGTTTAGTATGAATATAGGAGAGAAAATATGAGATACACAGGTGTGAAAATGTGAATATAAAGAATGCCCGGTCAGTATCCGCGGACGTACGGACATATAGGGGAGCCGGATTTGTCAAAGTCCGGCCGTAGACGCTCGGAAATGCAGTTTAGGTCTGCCTCCCAACCCTCGTCCCTGCCACCCCTAAAGAAAACAAATCCCTCGTCCCTGCCACTCTGCACCTCTTCGCCCTCGTCCCCTTCCCCTCCATCTCAATCCCTTCGCTCTCTCTCTCCTCTCGTCCCCTCACTGAATCCCCACTCCGCAAGAATCTCTCACTCACCAACACAAAATCAACCAATGCTGGCTGATTCCAAGATGGATCCAACGAATAGTAGGCAAGGGTCTTGTTCTTGAGCGGAGCAGCGCGAGCTTGAGGCCACCGGCGGCGGCGGCTCTTGCTCCAGCGGGCTGGGGAAGGAGCGGAGGCTGCGACCTCACCCGGCGGCGCCAGATCTTTCCGATTCCGACTCGTTGGCCTCCCAATCTTAAATCTTTGCCTGCAGGCACGGCCCGCGATGCCGCCGCCGCGTGTGCGGGAGTTGGGGGAGATGTACGAGCTCGTGGAGGAGATCCTGCTCCTCATCCCGCCTGAGGAGCCCGCGGTCCTCATCCGCGCCTCCCTCGTCTGCAAGGCGTGGTGCCGCCTCCTCTCCGGCCACGCCTTCCGCAGCCGCTGCCGCACCTTGCACAAAACACCTCCAGTCCTGGGCTTCTTACAAAGGTGGGAGGACAACGTGGGGCGCTCCGTCCCCACCACAAAGTTCCGCCCCCGCAATCCCGAGCGGCGGGACAGTTATGTGCTCGACTGCCGCCATGGCCGCATTCTTCTTGGGTGTAGGTGGTACGATGAGGGGGAGGAGGAAGCTGACGAGCAGTTGAAAGAGGAAGAAGATGATATCGAGGAGGACGGTGAGGGGGAAGAAGCTGACAAGGAGGAGGAAGAATATGATACGGATGAGGAGGGGGAGGAGGACGACGAAGATGAAGATGAGGGGAAGGAAGATGACAGGGTCTCGAAGATGGTCGTCTGGGACCCCGTGTCGGGAAAGCCGAATCCAGTTGCGCGGTCTTGACATGTTCGACCCTGACGTCAACGGCGCAACCTATTGGGGCACGGTGCTATGTGCGGCGGATGGCTGCAACCACGCTGCCTGCAACTTGGGGCCATTTTTCGTCGCTTTAATCGGCCTTGACAGCTACCGGCCGTATGATGACGATGATAAGAGGCTGCGGGCGTTAGTATACTCGCCAGAGACCCGGGAATGGACCTCAACAGCCACTATTCACATCGGTGGCGTTGGAAGATTTGAAGACTACATCATCGGAAGGCCCAGTGTCTTTGTTGGACAAGCGCTCCACTTCCTCCTTCACGGGGATCCAACTGTGGCCAACATTTTTATTCTCAAGTATGACTTCCATAGGCATCGCCTATCAGTCATTGATCTGCCAGAGCTGTGTGCGAGCAGCTGGACCCCCCCTCCTCATCTCGGTGGATGACAGTGGGCTGGGGCTCGTCCACCTAGACCAGGATGGGCTATGCTCCATTTGGTCGGTGGAGGTGAGTGTTGATGGAGTAGCGTCGTGTATCCAACTCAAAGAAATGGACCTCAAGGCGCTTGTCCCCATTGGCTATCCCATGAGCTCAGACTCTCTAAAGTTGGTTGGCTGGGTGGAGGGCACCGATATCATCATTGCGGTCACAGATCTTGGTGTGTTCACAATTGATCTCAAGTCTTTGAGGTTGAGGAAGTTGTCGAGTAAGCCATATAGTTTCACATTCAAGCGAGATTCATTTAAAAACCTCTTTCTCTACACGAGCTTCAACAATCCGCCAGGTATATATATATGGTTTCTTTGAGACATATGTTAAGTTTCCCTTGAGAAATTCGTCAAGTTAAACAAAGAAATTCACCTCCCATTGATGTGTTACTCAAAACTGTTTGCTTCATTTAGCGGTGGCAGGTGCTGTGGCCGTGGCTGAAGCAAGATCAGCAAGTTAAGCAGGACGTCAGAACGCAGCAGTTTGAATCTCGGGCAAGCCGTTGAAGCATGGAAGTTGAGCTTGATCTTTTTGTGGTGGTTCTCATTCTGAGTCATATCCTATCTTTGATATGGGAGTCTTAGCTCTGGTATCTTGTCAAGGGTCAGTTGTAAGTTGGTTACCCAGCATGCATGCATGCTTGCTCCTCTTTGCATGGCTTATCACACTGTACTTCCAGTAACTGGTGGAAGATATGGTCACGAAAATTGTCAAGCTCTTGTTCCTTTAGTCATTTTGTTGGCTTGTCATTCTGTTCCTTATGAGTGTGGTTTTCTGTAGCTCAGGCTACACGGTACCCCTTATCTTTGCCATCCATTTATGCATCAAGATCCGTGCAAACACATTTGTCTTTTTTGTTTCTCTCAAACGACACAACATATGAACTTCAAATTTTGCAGAACAACAATACATTCTAACTACAATATAGAAAAAAAAACTTTCAGATTCTTTCATGCATTTTAAATACTTGAAATAATATTTTTATTCAAAGAAAATCTTATTTTGTATATTTACATCAGACCAAAAAATCTGAAAGTTTTTTCACACATTGATGTTCTAATGTTTGTTCGGTCTGCAAAGTTTGAAGTTCATATGTTGTTTCATTTTCGAGAAACAAAAAAGAGAAATCTTGTTGTTGTTAGTTAGTTGGAGAGTACGGATCTCAAAGCAAGGCTGGAGGGTTGAGGATAAGAGGTTTCATGTAGCCTGAGCTACAAAGAAACTTTGTGTTTATGATATGAAATACTTGATGGGAGCCAGGCGTGTGTGTGCTTATGCTAAGAGCATCTCCGACGGCCGCGCGGAACGACGCGCGCGCGTGGTAAACGCAGCTTTTAGCGCGTGGGGGGCGTTTTGCCGCGCTCCAGCGACGGCGGGAAAACCACGCGCGAGGAAACCGCTTGCGCGCGCGCGAAAAGGCGCTAACTCGCGCGCCATCTTTTGCGCGCCGCTTCCGGCGCGCCTATAGTGCGGTGCGCGCCACGCGCCTCTCCACGTCTCCTCTTCTCCTCTTCCTCTCTCTCTGCCACGCGCCGCTCCAGCGCCCCGCCATCGACGCGCCTCCGCCGCCCCGGTGCCCCGCCACCGACGCGCCGCCATGCCGCCGCGCCGCCGAGGAGCGTCCGGCTACCGCGGCGTCCGCCTGCGCCCCAACGGCGGCTACTACGCGGAGATACGCTCCGGCGATCTCCGGCTCGGCCTCGGCACGTACGGGACGGCGCGCGAGGCCGGCCGCGCATACGACGCGGCGGCGTGGCGCCTAGGCAGGCCGCGCGGCCAGATGAACTTCCAGGATGCCTACACGCTCCAGCAAGCGCTCGACCGTGCCCCGCCGCCGCGTCTGAACACGGCACAAGACCGTGCGGAGCACGCCGAGCGGCAGCGCCGCCTCCTCGTCGCCCAGGAGGACGAGCGGGTCATGGCAGAGTGGCGGCGCCGCCACCCGGAGGACGTCGCCTACGAGCAGTCCTATTGGGCAAGGCGTCGCAAGGAGGACACGCAAAGGCGCCGCACGGCGCGGTTGGACAGGCGTCGGCGCAAGGCATTGGCGAACGCGCAGTCCGATCTCGTTGAAGCAGGTGGGCAGTCGTTCTTCACGCCGAATGATGATCGGTGGTTGGACATCTGGCTGGATACCTCGGACAACACCGCCGAGGAGGATGACGATAGTGATGATAGCGACTTAGACTAGTTTTTTTTATGCAATCTATCTCGTGTTTTATCGTTTGTCGTGGTTGTTTGGGCACTTCTGTAAGCCTTGCACCTCTATTGAGTAATGCCTGAGTCGCAGCGTCAAGGTCTGACCCAAATTGAGCTTTTATTATTATGCAATCTATGTTTTCGATGTAAAATACCTCTGTATCGTTAAAATCTATGCAATCTATCTATTTTCCAATAGCCTAGAACGAGCGTGCGCGCTGTTTTTTTGCACGCTGCTGGAGTGGCGCGCGCGCTGCATTTTAGCGCGGCTGCTGGAACGGGCGCAACGCGCCGCGCCAAATCAGCCGATGCGCGCGCGGCATATGTGTTTTTTGCGTGCGGCGCGACCGGCGCCTGTTGGAGATGCTCTACTTCAATTTTGCTGTAACATAAGCTATTTTATGTGCCCGGTTTTCAACTCTTCAAATAAATATGCAGGAGCGCCTGCAATTACAGTTATACCACTATATACAACTCAAAACCAGAAAAGCAATATGCAGGAGTACACCATTTCGATGTCCCTGCAGAAGGAAAAGGAAAAAAGGTACTCCCTCCGTCCTGAGCAAAACTGTGCTTATAATATAAGATCGTTTTGGTGTAGTAGTTTCAATAATGTCGTAGCCAGACACAAAGCAGAGTATCTGGCCAGAAAAACTGCAGGATTTCCGGCCATACAAGAGCCTCTGCACCAATCCATGTAATTTATAGTTCTTTGATCAGAGTGTCGTCAACATGTTAGTACTAACATCAGCTATGTTTCTCCCCTCTCTTCATCGGGGCAAAAATGAGAAATAAAAATAAACGAATCACATCCTGGGTCTTGGTCTTGCCAAACAGCAGCATCCTGCCTCATCATGATCATCTAAAGAAGAAGGTGAAAGAAAAAAAGAATGGAGAATGCAGGGAGAAATCCGATCAGTGGTGCCTGGCGCTATGGCCCCTGGGGCCATAGTAGTCCACATGGATCTCAGGCATCCTGTGCCCCCCTGCCCTCTCTTTGTCTTCAGATATGGCCTCCTCTACCCCTTCACCCGATGACTGCTCAGCATCATCAGTCTTGATCACCACCCCTTTCTCCACGGATTTCTGTAACCGATGTAGAAATTTACACAAGTCAGATAACCGTTCCAAATAAGCAGAAGCTCGGATCATTGGCCGCGCAACGACACATCGAAACACCAGAAACAACAGCTGCAATCACTTACATTGAGCACCGGGTTGCCGAGCGCCGCCTTGCTCCCTGCGTCCAGCCTGATGCCCTGCGCCGTCGCCACCATCAGGAGCAGAAGCACGGCAGCCGCAGCCACTGGCAGGCATGTCTTCGCCATCTTCTACGTCCAGTATCTGTGTGAGGACCTTGAAAGAGTCGAGCTGGGAGACGAACGCCGTTCAAGCCTTCAAACTCAGCTCAGGTGGAATGGAACAGCAGTGGCTCAGTCTCAGTGAGCAGCTGTGGACTCTGTTGTCTGAACTCTGAAGAACCATTTGACCCTGGAGACCATATATACTACAGACACAAGACTTTTCTTAACGACCCCGGCCCGGGCCCGCCCAGTGATTGGCGTACTCATGTCTGCGGCCAAGGGTCTAACCTGAAGTACTAATGCAGGAATGTAGCCATTGTTTATGCAGTCCTCTGCTGGACTTTGGACAAGTATGTCTGCCCCAACCATGGAGCCGTGTTTATTAGGACGCCGGACCCCTGGATTAGGCGCGTAACGCCATGGCAATGATGGGATTAAGAATGCTGTCAAGTGCACCTCAAGCAAGTAATAATGGACATCTGCTCCTGGAAAGTTGCCTGCATGTCTCCCAGGAAACGCGTAATATATTTTGCTCGCGCTCCCCTCCAGAAAATTGTCCGGAAACCATTTGAATTGGGGTCGTTTAATTGCATGCAGAAAAGTGTCCGGAAACCATTTGAATTGGGGTTGTTTAATTGCACGCAGAGAAGTTGGACTGGTTTTATGTACGTGCAGTTTGGCGTTATTGCTCTGCTCTCCATGCCCTTATCACTTATCAGGCAATATTCTGCTCCTTTGTGTTCAGCTCCATACTTTTTTTTATGTATGTCTTCGCACCTGGTAATTGACAATTCATGAGACAAGAGACACAGAAAAGACCATCGATTCGACCGACAGATTCACGGCGATGGAGTTACATGATCGAATTTCAGTTGCCCCCACAATCTTATTTACAGATGAAAACAGGGAAATGTATGATACAGCACAGCAAGGCACGCAGCCTCTTCACCAGGACATGCCTAGTTTCCAGCAGCTAAGAAATGCTCACAACTGTGAGCTCACATGTTCGTTGGCTTAATTACCAACAAGA